AAACAATAAACTTTCATTTCATTTCATTTCAAAGTTTATAAAATTTATATATTATATGAATTATGAAATACTAAATTCTACACTCAAATATCTAACTACTATATAGAAAAAAAACACTCGAAATTTCATAAAGAAAAGAAATATATAACATAAAATTATATCGACATCGTAATAATAAACACTCAGTAGAAGCCTCTAATAAATCGAAATAAAATCAATCATAGGTATATATTTATTTGTTGTTTATGTATTGTTTACGCCATTTTTGTTGAAAATAATTTTGCCATAATTTTCACGATATATTGAAATTATAATATAAAACGTCATTTTTTCACATTGGACTGTATAAAATATGAGTTTCTGTGTTTTTTTTCATGATTTATGATGATTATTTACACTTTATATTTCATTTTCAGTTAATTCTGAGGATTTATTTCATACGTGAACGACGGTATTTGAAATGCTAATTTTATAAATTGAATAAAAATTGTTAAAATACGAAATATAAGCATAACTTTTTAAAAAACAATGTAATTACTTACCCTTTGTATAAAAAAACTCGACAAACTTCTCTATATATGTAAACACTTTCAAATTTTAAAAATAATACAGTAGGGCAAGAGTCACGGACACGGACACGGCACAGGGATATACTGTAGTATAATACGGCCGACGTATCTTGGCGAGTCTGAATATAGGCTCTGCGAAGTTTAGCGCATGAACACTCGTGAAGAAAACTGTTATTGTCATTTTTTTATATATACCAATGTACAAATAAAATTTCCCTAATACAGTGACCAAAAATATCAAAACACTTTGGAGACATTATAAATTAAAGATTCAATTTTGATACCTCACCTTTCGATAGGGGCAGATTTTATCACAAACACATACAATATTATTTACATTTAATACTTTTTATTTATTTACACTTATTATTATTTAATCACTGTCGCTGAGGGGGGAAATTCCTAACATAAAGTCGTCGGCCCCTTGTGTACCATGTGAGGTACTTGGCATAGGTTCATCTTCGTAATCGTCGCTCTCACTTTCAGACTCACTTTCTGAATCTGAAGCTGTATTAATGATGAATAATTGATCCGTCATTTCGTCAATAATATGGTCGCTCTTCCTATAGTCATGTTCGACCTCTTGCACTTTTCTGCATAAAGCACTCCATTCATTCTGACCCATTAAATTTACTTTTTCTTGTATGAGCTCCATTGTCCGGGTTACGTTCCAGTCGACGTTTTTAGCGGCTACGTGCCCTTTAATGGCAGCCCACACCATCTCGATGGGGTTTAAATCGGGATGATATGGGGGTAAACGAAGGACATCGTGGTTGTTTTGTTTAAACATTTCATCTATTACGTATTTTTTATTCACGTCTTTGTTTTTTTTTATTAGATCGTAAAGTTGTGGTTTACGCATGTCCTTTTCATATGGTATACCCTTTTCTAATAACCACGATTCCATTTTTGCCTTCTTGTCATTAGATGTAGGGGCAGGATCCATTAATTTGTTGTGGTACGGAGCATTATCGATAACCACCACCGAGTTAGGGCTCAAATTTGGAATCAGTTGGGTCCGTAACCATTTCTCATAATTTTTGAAATTCATGTCATCATGATAGTCTCCGGTTTTGCTGCCAGATTTGAACATTAGTAGCGCGTTCGGAACAAACCCTGCTTCTGACCCAGCGTGTACCATCACTATCCGCTGACCTTTTGATATCGGGCGCTTTAGTCCTTGAGCGGAACCATCTGACCACGCCTTACCTTTTGTATGTGATGAGTGGGCATACGACTCGTCAGTGAATACAATTGGTCGCCCTTCGTCCCTGTATTTTTTCATTGCCTTCAAGTACAAGATCCTTTTCAGGCGAATGTCGGTCTTCTCTATAAGAACCATTCTATTGGTTTCGGTCTTTCGCCACTTGAAACCCAAGTTTTTGATAATTGTCTTTAAGCTCGTTTTACCACCTTGAAAATTTATATCCCGTTTGAGTTTCGCTAGTAATTTGTTTATCGTCGGCATTTCTTTTTCAGTTTTGTGGAAGTTGTGTATGCATCTTTTTACTACTCCCTGGTCAAAATTATCCATATCAGTAATAGGTTTTGATCTAGACCTTTTTTTACCAGGCGTGCGGAATACTGAAAGTAAGCCCGAAATATTGCCTTCAGTTGCGATCCGCTGTACTGTGCGTTGGGACACACCAGTTGCGTTAGCAACTCTTAAATAAACTTTATCGACATCTTTTACGCCTTCTTCTTTTTCTTTTTTCATATATTGCGTTAAATCGTAAATAATTTTTCTCGCCTGGCGATTTAACACACTGTTATGTTTTGGTGGCATGTTTGGCGAATAATATAAGTGCTAACTGACACTTGCAAATAAAACAAATAAAACAAATAAAACAAACAAAACAAACTTAACACTATTAATAAAAACAAACAACAATAACAACGAAAACTTTTGTAACCGACTGTGCTCAAGACAGAGATAGCGACACGAACACGACACCAATGCTAACGTGTGACTGAGAAATATTACCGTGTACCGAGCATTGCCGAATAAGCACGAAGCTTTACGAAGTAACCAGAAAGGGATGTCCAACACGCGTGCCTGAGGGTGTTGTTTAATCGATTTTTATTCAAATCGATTAAAATTAAGACATAAAAATATATTTATTTGCAATTTATAAGGAGGTTCTAAATTTTCTCAAATAGTCGTTACTCAAGAAGACGTTAATAGATAATTGATATTTAAGTACATTATGTCTTTCAGCTGAGAAAATAATATGTTTTTAGTTTTTTTTTTTTATTTAAGTCGAAATCTTGTTTATTATCAACAAAATTCACTATATTTGTAAATCTATTTCGTTTAATATCTTATATAAACAAAAATCAATAACTTCTAAATAAAACTAATCGATTGCGATATTTTATGACTAAAGGGTCGATTGTGTTTACTTATGGTCAATCTCTAGCCTAGACCACCGCCCCCCGTACGTCGCCTCATGCCACCATTTTGTTCCTTAAAAAAGCTATTGCGCAACCTTCTGCGCGAAGGTCGGACTCGCCAAGATACGTCGGCCGTATTATAAATACGACGCATCATGGCGGAAACTCGTCATTTGAACTAAATACTCTTATTTTATAGAAGCGTAATTTAGTAACGAGACTAGTTCTAATATTTTTTTTAGAAAATTAGATATATAGTTCTTATAAATAACATTTAAAAAACAATTGTTTTGAGAGATCTACAAAATGACATTTTGAGAATCCAAATGGATTCGCCGAGCTTTGAAAGGTACAAAAAAACAGCAGCGTTAAGGATGTCAATGCCATAAATGATGCCGTGTTTGTGTTGGGTGAATGTGGTTGTGGTCGGTGTTTCAGTGTATAAAAGTACTCAGAGGGTCGGTTTTTGTTCGTGAATGGTGTTTGTGGCAAACACCAAGCGTGTGGAGGCGGCATAATATCAATGTTATTCACAAACCACAGAACACTAATACTAAAGATGAGACGTATTTACGCTACCAGGTTTTAAAACCAGGTATTCACTTCAAAGTACGGCGCCCTGGTACGAGCAAAAAATACTTGCAAGTATGAAAATACTTGCATAGGAAAATCATCCATATCTCAATAGTAGTAAGGAACTCAATCGTATTTGTTAACGAAAAATACTTAGTACTTCAAAGTATTTTTTTTATTTATACGACTTTGCTCCTTATTCATAGTAGGATAACATGGAATACGGGTGAAATTCCTATGCAAGTATTTTCAAATTTTGACACCACGGCTGGACACGTCCCTCGCGTCGCAATGAGACGTATTACGCTACCAGGTTTTAACTTTAAAGTACGGCGCCCTTTTACGACCAAAAAATACTTGCAAGTATGAGAATACTTGCATAGGAAAATGATCCATATCTCAATAGTAATAAGAAACTCAATCGTATTTGTGAATTAAAAATACTTTGAACTTGAAAGTATTTTTTTTATTTATACGAATTTGCTCCTTAGTCATAATAGCCTAACATGGAAAGCGGGTCGAATTCCTATGCAAGTATTCTTCCTTATATATTACTATACTCTTTGCAAGTATTTTCAAACTGACACCGCGGCTGGACACGTCGCGTAAGTAGCTAGTAAGTAATTATAATTATAAGAATTATATGTTTATATTCGGGGAAGTAAAAGTTTTGTTTCGATTTCTTGTAAATTCAATTATTATTGTGAACTGATTACGTAACCTACTGACCGTGACCTAATTTTTAAATAGTTATTTCGCGTGTATATTGAATTTAGAGACAGTTTTAAAACTTTTATTTATTAAAGCCGAAAATTAGGAAAGAAAGATTTCATTTCGTTATCAAAAAAAATTTAAAAAGGTACAGTATAAATTTTGGCCCGAATCAAATTAGGCATTCATATATATATTGACATTAACAAATACTTTCCAGTATTTATAAAACCTGGTTTTCAACCCTGGTATTTTTCCATACTCGTACTTAGAAGCCCTGGTATGAAATATTGCGAGTATGTCTCATCTCTAACTAATACCCTTAGGCGGGAAGAATGTCAACTTCAAAGAAAATGGCACTCATAATGCACGCCATCTCTGTGGTGCCACCTAAAAGTTTTTTGCGCGGGAATTTTGATGTGATTTTTTTTTTAGTTGGCGTCTTGCTTGTTTCGTTTCAAAAATGGCTTAAGTGCTTATTACATTATTCAATTTTTAGGAAATCTAATTAGGAAGTTGGAAAGTGTAATCATAGTTAGAACAGTTAGGATCCGATTTAGTTAAAGTTGGAGGTCCCGACCGCTCTATTTTTTTAATTGTCTACAATTTAGGACAGTGTAATCGCAACCACGTTCTTTTAACTTCTACGACGAGTTTTCGACTTTAGACACATGCTCACCTATGCATGTGTGCATTGCTAATGTATACCATAGGAAAAAATAAATAACCGGTACCTTGCACACCGGTCACACTGACGGTTTTAGCAAGGAAACAAGCAACAAGCAAGTGGCCATTTTATTTTATTCATTACTGTAATTGTGTTGATCACAGAACACATGTACCGGTGTTGATCGAGTGACATTAGCTCTCCACATTTAATAGTAATTTCAACTGTATGTGCTTTTATGTTCTTGGAGTGGATTTTGTGTTTTGTACATATTGACTATCGTGCACCATCACATTAATTTACGAAAGGACGTTTTGCGCTTTTTTACGAAAGGACGTTTACATTGTTAGGTTAGGTTAGGTTTTCTGTTTTTATTTGATTTGTGTATTCTTTGTTTATAAGTATGTCTGAAAATAACCATAGGAAGTGTGCCAAATGCGGTAGAACACGTGCTGAAGACATGACGGTGACCTATCATAGGTTTCCGAATCCAGGAACTACTAATATTACCAGGTTAGTGGACTATGAAATATTGCTTATTGAGCCATGATACGATTATCGTTTAAAATAATATATTAAAGCGCCTTGTGCTGGTGCATTAGTTCGACAAATGAATGTGGTGTTGTTAAGTACATACCATTTTGCATAGATAGATAGATACATACTTTATTGTACAACACAAAAGAAGAAATAAACAAAGCGATGATGCACAGAAGGCGGCCTTATCGCTATAAGCGATCTCTTCCAGGCAACCCTAGGGTGTAGGAGTATTTATATAAAAAGAGTAGGTTTACTTGCAACACATTCTAAATACATACATAAATACATGTCAGTGGCCTATCAATAGGTACCTTTAATTTTGTCAATACATCAATTTATGAGAGATTTGACTAATTTATTTAATTTAAAATAATTTCAGGGCTCATATTTGGGCTAAATATTGTTGGCCAAATGAAGATTGGACTTCAGTAGAATTATTACGTTCACTCTATACTAAAAATAAAGTGTTGTGTGGAAGACACTTTAATTCAACTCAATTTTATGACAATGAAAGACAAAAATTGAGTAAATTTGCTGTTCCTGAGTCAACTGTAATGGAAGAACTACTCAATGAAAAGGAAAATATCTTTCATCAGGTATAATATACTTACAGATTGGTCTAAAAAGTTTACATATACCTCTGCTCAAATAGTGTCATAACTGAAAAATATCAAAAACCTTTTTATTGTTTCGTTAGGTTCAAATGATTTTTGTACCAATGAGTAATTCAGAATCAAAAAAGTTGTGTTTGTTAATGTTTTGTTTTATTAAAATGACTCATTAAATAATATATGGTAAAATATTCTTTCTTTTATCTATAGTATAGTGTCACAATTACAAATTTATGATAATTTTTTTTTCATCTTTTGAGGATACCAAATACTCCATTTCGTAGAACATTTAAAACCATTAAAATTTACTATGATCATTATTAAGATAATTTTCATAGTGGTACGACTTTCCATTGACGTCAGTGGAGTTTGGTGTTGATACGTATTTTTACAGAAAGATTACACTATTATAAGCACACACACAAAGTCTCAATATACGGAAACACGTAATTTTTGAGAAAAGAATAATTGAAAATCAATTATTCTTGCAATGTTATGTCTAATCTGCTAATAAACTGGCGCCATTTTGTAATGTCATTGTCGACGTCACTAGGGATGTCGATTCTTTCCGAAAAAGGTCGATTTTTAAATCTATTCAAATCGTAAGCTGATGTATCGATTCCTAAAAAATCGATTTCTATAATATCGATATTTTTTTCATGTTTGCATTTATAATGTAAATATAAATCCATTTTATGAGAAAAAAATAAGGGGACTGATTCATAAGGATTTCTGTATCTATTTTGAGACTGCTACGTCTCCGGCGCTGCGGGAAGAGCAACCTCTACGCCTTAGCGTAACAAATCGTAGGCATCGGACGAGCCGGAGCGGCTGAGGCTGGTCGCCAAAGGCGACCAACAAGCCGAAGCTGCGGAGGCGAGGAGGCGGAGGCTGCTCCCCCTACGCGCCTCCGGCTCTATAAAACCACTCTAGGGGTAGGACAGACTCGTACCAGGTGGAGTCGGGGTCAATCAATTCAGTTCTTTGACATAAGTTGAACCTAACCTATTTTATTTGTTATCTGCCCTAATAGGTACTGTTAAATAAAACAAATTTCAATAAGAGATCATTTATCATGGTATCTTTCTTGTTTTTCATAAAATGGGTTTATATTTACATTATAAATAGAAACATTAAAAAAATATAGACATTTTAGAAATCGATTTTTTGTGAACCGCTTACGATTTGAATCGATTTAAAAATCGACCTTTTTCGGAAAGAATCGACATCCCTATTGACGTCGACAATGACATTACAAAATGGCGCCAGTTTATTAGCAAATTAGACGTAAACATTGCAAGAATAATTGATTTTCAATTATTCTTTTCTAAAAAATTACGCGTTTCCGTATATTGAGACATTGTGTGTGTGCTTATAATAGTGTAATCTTTCTGTAAAAATACGTATCAACACCAAACTCCACTGACGTCAATGGAAAGCTAAGCCTTCATAGTTTCTGAGATATGCCCAAAAATGTGAAAAATAAATTTAGAGCAATTTTTAAATGCATTTTTCTCGACAATTTGTATTTTGGAACTATGACACTATTTGAGCGGAGGTGTGATATAATTTTCTCTGCCAAGTTCAAAATATACATTTTAAAAACAATCCGACAGTCGAGTCCATTGGTGCGATAGTTACGTACCCTGTACCCCTATGCCCAAGCATTTGGAAGCTAAGTTCACTAAAAACCCACATGGGCACATGGCTGTCAAAAATGATTTTCTAGAATTTTATTCTAATAATATTTTTAATCAGAATGTAGTAACTACATTGACCTTTATTCACCTATTTAATTCATTATGCTGATGCTAATGAGAACAGATGTTATTTTTTGTAAAATAATAAAACAATATAAGGGCAAATTATTACTCCAGTTTTAGAACAAAGCATGTAGCAGGTTTTATTGTCCCTTATTTTCTCAAATTGTACCAACCTATTGTTCCAAATAATATAAACTATCTAAAAACCTGATTGCATACTCACAAACTTAAAAGATCAAATAACATACAGTTGGTGGCATACAATTATTCAGGTAATGTATCAAAATCTGTTCAGCTGCTTAAAATAGGTACTGGGAATTATAATAATTAGGATAAGTCTTACATTAGAGACTTGAATACTTTCATGTGAAATAAAGTAATAAATTTATTGTAATGATTAATTTCAGAATGTAGAACAGTCCAGTGAAGCAACTGCACAGCCAAAGTTAAGAGTGCCACTGTTGGAAATTGAAAATATTGTAGTGGAACCTTGTACCAGTGCAATGTCATCAACACAAACTTTAGTGGATGTCCCAAGAACAACTGGATTCATTGACAGTGTGCAGGTAATACATTTTTGATTTTTTGATTTATATATTTTTTTAAATAAGATAGAGAGGAGTACTAAATATGTGATTTGAGTATTTATGTGTTTGTGTGAACTATGATGCTTTCACTGTACTTTTTTTAACAAATTCTTTTACATTAATAATTTTTTACTTATTAATGGCTGTAGTAGGTCATACAGATCATTTATTATGACTTCAAATTAAGATTTTAATATTCAAACAAATTTGTGATTATAAATAAGATATTTATTACCAACTGACAAATACCTTACAATTTTAAATTATGCGAGTGCTGGTATCAGTCCCTAAGAGTGAATATTTATAATTTCAGAATGCACCAATAACTGAAAACCTCAATGTGGCAACCTGTAGCAAGTCAAATTTGGTCAAAAAACGAACTAAAATCCTAGCTAACCTAGGTGTCACAAAAGTAAGCCAAATGACACCAAGAGAAATAAATTTATATAAAATATGCAAAAATAAGATGCATGAGATAATACGATTACGTAACAAAATTAAGAATATTAAGAGAAGGAAGATAGAGAGAGTTTTAGGAAATCAACATGTTGAAGAATTGTGTAATTTAAATATTAGCAATTCATTCATAACTTTATTACAAAGCCAGTTACAAAATTGTCCAAAAAAACCAAAAGGCAGAAGATATACTTTACAACAAAAAATTCAGGCTTTGTTAATTTATAAAAAGTCCCCAGCCTGTTACAGATTACTGAAGAGAATGTTTGCTTTACCATGTCAAACAAGTTTAAATCAACTCCTGAATAAAGTGCCACTAAAACCAGGCATAAACAAACATATATTTACCTCCTTAGAAAAAATGAGCCGGAACCATGATAAGGAAGATAATATTTGCATTTTATCATTTGATGAAATGTCTATAAGAAGACATTTGTATTACAACCAAAAGCTGGATGAAATACAAGGATTTCAAGACCATGGCAACCATGGTAGGACCGAAGATGTTGCCTCTAAGGCACTAGTATTTATGCTCACTGGGTTGAGAAAGAAGTGGAAACAGCCCATCGCATTTTATTTCTCCCATACTATAAAGGCAGATAGAATGACAATAATTTTAAAAGAGGTAAAGTATAGTATACTCTTTTGTAACTTTTATTACAAGACTGAAAAATATGTATATATGTTTCAAATTTACACTTGTTTACTTCTTTTCAGATACTTACATAATGCATTGCAGCAAAGATGAATGTGGTTGCTACTGTCTGTGATTTATCAGCTGTGAATCTAAAAGTTTTTAAAATATTAGGTGCAACATCTACTGCACCATTTTTTAATTTCTGTGGACAGGAAATTGTGTCTATACTAGATCCTCCACACCTTTTAAAGTGCACCAGAAATTTGTTAATTAAGCATGATATTGAAGTAACCTCGGATTTTCAATGCAATGAGAAGCCTGTAAAAGGTAAATAAAATATTTTACTGTTGAAGATATATATAATTTTTTTTTAAATTAAAGTCTTGTGCAGACAATATACATAATATGTGTACACAACAAGAGTCAAATTATGTACTTACTATATAATATCTTCAATTTTTTTAGGTACAGTGAAATGGAGCCACATTGAAGCATTTTATCAGTTGGACAAAACCAACCCCAATTTGGTTTATGCTCCTCAACTGACAGATAATCATTTGCATCCAAATTGTCAGCAGAAAATGAGAGTAAAGTTGGCAGCACAAGTGTTTAGCCACTCTGTTACAACTGGCATGTTAATGAAAATTGCTCAAAGTAAGTGAATTTATATATGTCACAGTCAATACTAATTCCCAGTCTGCTGCACCTTAACCTATTGAAATTTGGGCCAAACACTGTCACTATGAGTTAAGGTGGGGTAATACCGTGAACATGTGTATTTTTCAGTGAATAGTACCTTTGACAGTTAGAGATATTTAAAGAATCTTGACTGTAACAAATACATATATTAGTAATTAAGTTTGAATGTTGTCACAGACTGCTAACTTTGTATCCTGCCAACTGAAGACTTGGGTAACCCCATTGTCAATACTAATATGAACCTGAGCAAGTTTGTCTACATGTTACAACAGAAATAAACAAAACTACCATTAAAAACAGCTTAACTTTCTGATAATCAAGTGAAATCACAACCACTTAGGATGAGTTAGTTGGCATCTAGTGTATAATAATGTTATTAATCAAAATATATATATTAATGAAAGCTCCTTGAAATTAAATATTTTTCCTTTAAATGAAAATATAACTAATAACTTTTTTTTTTCTTCAGATGAACTTCCGGCCGAAGCCCATGTGACAGCAACTTTCGTGCAAAAGTTTGACGAGCTGTTTGATGCTGTCAATGCAGACAGCCCAGACTTGAGAAGAGGAAAAAAATACTCGACAAATTTAAATAAAAAAACTCCTCATTTAGCTTTATTTAGGAATATGAGAGAGTTCATATCGAATATGAAATATATAGGGAGTAAATCAAATCCTCCTTCTCAAGAAGGATGGATTCACACCCTTAATGCTATAGAAAGATTGTGGAAAAATTTGCAGGCTATAGGCATTAAGAGTCTTCCCACACGTCGCCTAAACCAAGATCCATTAGAAAATTGTTTTGGCTGCATAAGATATAGCTGTGGATCTAATAATAGTCCTACAATAAACCAATTTATAGCTGGTATTAAAACTGCCATAATTTCAAATTTAAAACATTCAGGACATAAAAAAAATTGTGAAGATGACACAGCAATTATTTCAAATAATTTGTCAAACTTTTTAACTCCAAATATCTCTCCAATTGTTAAATCACCAACTCTTCAGTTTGATGACACTAAAGAGATGGAAAATTTATTATTTGATGCAGTTGAAGCAGTAGAGCAGGGGACATCTGAAAGTCAAGCATGTGGATATGTGTGTGGTTTCATATTTAAAAAGTTAAGGCACAGTAACTGTCAGGATTGCCGAAAAGCATTTTTGTCAGATACACAAGAAATCATACACAGGTTCACAAATTTTAAAGAATATGACCCTGCTCAGAACTCTTTAAATTATGTGGGTAAAGATATGGTGACGTGTGTAGAAATGATGGCAAATATAATAAATAAATACTTAAAAGCAAATGCCTATAGGATAGAAGTAAAAATTAACATATTCAGTGCATTGGAATGTGTAGATTTTAGTTTTTTAAAAAAATGTATACATCATTTAGTATTAAATGAAAACCATTTAAAAGTAAGCACATTTTTTATAATAACTAAAAGGTATTGTGTTTTAAGAAACAGAGATATGGACGACGAAGAGAAAAAGAAAACTCTTGAACGCAAAATGAGAATTTTAAAAAATAAATGATAATACATTATTTGTTGTTTCAATTACTCACACAATTTGAAAATTAATGTACTATAAGAACTTGAAGCAGGACTTTTTAATAATATGGAGCTAGATTTATTATAGCAATTCAATAATTATATAAAGACTCCATATTACTATGAATCATGCTTCATGTTCTTGCAGTACTTGTTAATTCAATTATTGCGTAATGTAGTATAATGCAATATCCTTTTTGAAAGTTCCCGCGTCTTTAGTTTTAATTGCTATTCCGCAATGGCGCTGATGTCGTGTAGGTGTGTTGGCTGTGGTTGCCTTTTTTTACTATAGAGATGTTTTTCTTCTCTCGTCAGAGAGTAGTATGTTCCTTGATCGCAACGTTACGATTTAGAACGACCAGTCGGCGCCCGCGCTTCGACCTAAGTGGATGTTTTGAATGCGCGTGCGACATTTTTTTGCGATGGCGAGTGAAGCGACAGAACTGAGCAGTGGTTCGTGTGGCAGCATGTCCACAGAAAAAGAGGTGTTATTACAAATTATAGACCTGTATAGGGTAAATGCCCTATTTGTATAATAAAAATGATGAAAACTATTTAAAAAAAAGCAATGCGTGAAGAGGGCTTCAAGGTGTTGTTAAATATTTACAAATACAATGACAATTATTCCATATTCATATTCTCTTTTTTCTTTTTTTAATATCCATTGTTCCCAGCACGGCTAAGGCAAGTCCTATTTTCTGCTGTTTTGATAAATACGGCGCCATCGATCAAACGTGCAACCCCGTCGATACTTCTTTTACGAATGTGCTCTCCAGTATTATATATTAGTCTATGGAATGTGCTTCGTCACGATTTAGAATTCAATTTAGTGTAATGTGATCACTAGCTTCCAACTTAGGTTCCTAATTAGATTTTCTAAAAATTGGATAATGTAATAAGCGCTTTAAGAATGTAAAATACCATATAGATAGATATAGCTTGTAGTTTTTCGTTTCAATAATATATATTGCTAAATTAAAACGAAAACAAAAGCACAAAGTCATCTGTAAATTATGGTACTTTACATTCATAAACCACTTTTGATACGATTAGCAATCATTTTAATATAAAAAAGGAAAGGTTTTTGAAATACATAATTTTTATTTACATTACATACTTGTCCACATTGGTACATAGAAAAACCGTTGGTACATTGATGGACGTAAGTGACGGAGTAATTATCTAATTTTTAACTTTATGCATGTAAACAGTTCTCAACAGCTCTTAACTAAATATCGATTTAATAGTTAAGTAGTTATGTAAAGCAGAATAGTCTATTTTTAAGAGGTAGGCGTGTTTTAGCGAAGTATAAGAAATAAGCATTCTCGTAACTTCGCTAAAACACGTGTCAACGATTATTAGTTTATAGCTAATTACTTCATCACTTCACCTATTAAGTAAACGGCATATGTAACATGACATTTAAGCAAAATGGAAAGTAAAGGTACATTGGTTTATATAAAAAAGATTAGACAATCTAATACAAACACTTTTTTCTAACAAGAAAACATTATTTACCTTGACATTCTACAAACAAGGCAATAATAGCTTTGCAATATTATGTCTAAACTCCAATAACCTGATTATATTATAGATGCCACTAATAATATTACATTTGTAGAAATTATTTTCGATATATTATTGTTATTGACTGCATTAAAAAATAATAAGTCAACATTTTCATGTCATTAATTAGCACTACCTTAAGTGTAATTTCTTTAGCCCTGTGTAAGTATGGTCCTAAAATTAAAATCGGTTTTTACTTGAGACTAACCAAACGCAAATAAATATATCTTACACAACAAAATGATACTAAATCACAAATGAAAGATATGGAAATATCAAATGTTTATTGCGTCAGTCTCCAGAAAAATTATTTAATTTTAACCTATGCAAAATTTAACATGTTAAACACATCCTAAGACACCCCTATTTAGAATATTGAGTTTAAAGCACAATACAGTAACCAAAAATTTATTGTATTAAAGTTAACTACTTTCTTTTTATGAAGATAGTGTTATCTTTAACATATTAACTGCATTTGACATAGCCGAATAACTGAAAAATTGTCCACATTAAAAATTCAGTGTATGTTTATTATGTTACATGTGGTAATTACTACCCAGGACAAAGTAGTCTGCATTAACTGGTACAATCATCCTAACGTTAAAATGTCACCACCGAAGTGATTGTGACTGTACATACAGAAAAAGTAGTTCCATGTAATATCCTATTTATTCTGCAGGATATCAATTTTTCTTTTAAGAGCAGATGCAGAGTACTCTTCTGCAAATTGCCGATTTTTCAAAATACGAAATCTCTTCATACTCGTACAAATGTGAAATACGCTATTAAATAAGTAATGTATATTCATATCTTTATGTTCTGGACATTTATCGAGAAACTCCAAATTTATTGAGTTTTTGAACAAAACTTTAACTGTCACTTTTAATTTTTTTTTATATGCTTCTGCCTCTAAAAATCATAAATCATCGTAGCACTACTTCCAATACAGTTAATGAGGTTTTGAGAGGCGTATTTAAGGGACTTTTTTTAGATCACTATATTCTTTAAAGTCAATAAAAGTATGTGATCTCTCAGATACAAAGATTTTTTTACAAATTTCACATTTGTTCTATGTACATTCATCTAGTAGCTTTAGAATTTACACTTTCTTCTAACTCATCGGTTAAAATTGTGGCATAAGCAGTGTGTGTGTCTGTGGGTGGAGACAATAAAGTTTTAATATTTGTCAATATAACTTGATTTTGGTCTTCTTCACAATTTCCTGTCCCAATAAAAGATAAGTTGCAAAGGACAGCCGTATTAAGACCCGCAACAAACTGCCCAGCAATGGGATTTGAATTGCAACCGCAATTGACCCGAATGCATCCAAAAAGATTTTCTAACGGGTGCTGCTGGAGCCTTCTTGTTTCCAAACTTTTTATTGATTTATGTTTAGAACTGAGATTTCTCCAGATTCGTTCTATTCCATTGATGGACCATATCCAACCTTCTTGGGATGGAGGGGCTCGTTTGCATCCCAAAAACGTAATTTCTTTAAAAAATTCTTCATTAAAATAAAATGTGTGAGATGTGGTGTATTATTTGTAATGTTTGTCGAAAATGGATTCCCCCTTCTTAGGTCTGGTGTGCATGCGCGTTGACACAATCAAACAGCTTGTCCATATTTGCAATAACATTAGCTGTAGTGACAGCCTCTGAAGAGAGTTCCCCTGTAAACAACATTTGATGAACAACTATGATTTAAAGTATGTTACAAGACAACTCAAAAAAAAAATCACATATCACACAATAAATAATAATTTGTACTTGGGAGAGCCTAAGTTCCTTTTTAAGTTAATAATTATTTTAATAGGTGGACATATGTTTAAATATTATACTTTCAATTATAAATTTAATTTACCTTGTGAAATTTTAGCATACATTGCTGCAGCAATTTATGCTAAATTTATGCTAAGCAATTTTGTACGTGGTAGAGCCATGCTGCAACTATATTAGTAGTATAGTTGTAGTACGAATGGGTCGGCTCGCCCGGGGAAGGACCACGCTCTCACAGAAAACCAGCGTAAAATAGCAGCTTAACGCTGCTGTGTTTCGTATGGTAAGTGTAGAGAACCGGATACCCTTTTTACTGGCAAAGAGGCATTCCATCTTAGTCCTCAAGGGTGACAACGCATCTGCATCTTGAGTCTTTATTGAGGATAGATGTAGATGTCTATGGGCTACAGCAACCACTTACCATCAGGTGGACTGTGTGCTCGTTTGTCACCCTATACTAAAAAAAAAAGCAACTGAGTGGCTTAACAGTTGTGCAGCTAGCTTCACCTTCATCTTCTGCTTCGTGTTTGGATTTAAATGCTCTTGTTTTAAGCAAGGTGCAAACACAAAATTGGGATTGGTGTTATCTGTTTCATAAAAAAACCTTTATATGGCTCCATTTAGCAACACCTGTAAAAAACATTTGTGTAAATTTTCAGTAAATTGAAAATATGTATAATATTATGATTGTAATAATACAAAATATCTTACCAAACCCAATTTGATGTTATATTTGTTGGACATTTAATGTCATATTTTAAAAACATATTTCTAAAGCATTTGAGCAAATGCGGAGTATCAAAAATGGTAACCACTTCTCGATTACTTAGCAGAATATATGGCTGTTCTACAGATGCTCCCAAACTACTTAAAGCTCTCTTATTCACACCATCCATATCGCACACTGTAGCTGAAATATTAATTCCAGCATCAAAACAATGTTGCAGGACCTAGAATGATAAAAGGGTAAATTAATATGGTAAAAAAGTACTACTACATATATTGACATAATAACAAATAAAAGACCATAATGCTCACCTCCTTTATAAGAACTGACAGCCTATCTGCAGTCACAGATCCGCTAGAAAAATAATAAGTAATTGGTTGTTTCAGCTTTTTACGGATTCCACCAATCATGCACACGAGGGCATGTGTTGCCATTTGTGGTGACCTGCCCTGCAATGCATGGTCTTGATAACCCTCAATTATGTCCTCCTTTTTGAGGTAAAACAAATTCTTTTTTATTGACATCTCATCAAACATAAGGATATACTCATTGTCTGAGGGAGTCTGTTGCTTTTATTGTTTTTTTCAAAACATTAACAATTTGGTCATTAATACCAACTTTCATGTGAAAGTTGCTTAATAACACTTTTAATGAACTAGGTGTTGGCAGGCAAATCATCCTTCTTAATAATTTGTAACACCTAGGTGACATTTTATACAGTCTTAGTGCTATTATTTTGGAGTCCATGTCCCATCTTCGACCTTTTGGGTTTTTTTTTATAGTTTTGCAATTCTCCTTGCAAAAATAATGCAAAAGAGGGGGATATTTTACATTTTAATATTTCATTTACTGAATCATTTTTGCTCAATACTTTGAGAAATGTTTCATTTTTGAGGCCTGTTTATTTTTCTCAGATGATATTT